CCGAAACAAATAGAATGACACTCATGTTCCAATGTAGCAAAACCAAAATATATATAATTCAATACGTTATAAAAGATTACACACTTTTAAGGTTTACAAAAGGTATGCCTTAAAATGAATACCATCCTTATACGTTTATTTTATAATTTTATTTTTTCGAACTTTCTAAATATAAATGATTACAGAAGAATGGTAAAAAAAAATCCACACTATAGAGATCAAAATAATTATGTTAAAATTAAAAGTATTTCAATTCAGTTGTTTGTCCAATCAAAAAGATTTAAGGATTTCACGAAAAGTATAGGGTAACGAAGTTAAGAATATTATTCCATAATCGGTTTACGAATACTTTTTTATTTCATGGTATTAATAATATTTTTAAATGTCTTAAGTGCTTCATTTATAAAACTTGGCTAATTATAATAATTAAAAGTTTCTTATAATTATAAGTCACTAAGATGTTTTGCATTTTCTTTTCCGATTAAAAAAACCTACTACGTCATGATATCACTTTGAGGAACTCAAATATCATTACTTGTAATAAAAAATTTAAAAATATATATATTTATTTATTAATATACAATATAGGTATATGAATAAATACAGTGAACAATTTGTAGAATCAGTAAAAATCAGAAAAAGTATATTTATCATTATTTTAAAAATACAGTATTTAATAAATACAAAGTACCGTGATTTTAAAATACATCATATTTCTATTTAAAAGTAATTAAATTGTATTAAGAATCACTATTCCAAATAAATGTTTATAATTTTTTATTATAATTAAAATAAACAAAATACGTCTCACGAACTTGCACAATGATTGTATACAATTTGTTATCTACTATTGTCTTTGAAAAATTGCGAGAAAAGGAGTTATGTGATTGGAAATACTTTTAAAATAATGAATTAAGAATAAATTATTTTTAAAAATTAATATTATTTAATTTCAATTATTATCCCTGATATTACACAAATCCCCCGCAAATTTCAATTTTTTATTTGAAAATATTATTAAAAGAAACAATTTTTTTTTTTTTCAAACAAGATATGCCCTTCTCCTCTTTTCTATGCTAAGGCATCCTACAGTCATACCTACATTTTTAATGCTAATCAATATTATAGTTGAAGATAATTGCATTAATAATTTAACACAATCTACCTTAAAAATGTCTAAGCTCAATTTTCGGAGGACTATTCTCCAAAAAAAGGAATCTACTCTGTACGATAATGAATTTTTATATTTAGTATCTTGAAAAAGAAAACATAGTTCCAATTAATTTAATTGTTAAAATGAAAGATACTAAACATATATATATACATATATATTTTTTTTTTTTTTTTTGTTCTATTACTGTCCAGATCTGACGTACATGGAATTTGTATGAAGCCTAGGATGAGGGGAGGGGAGAAAGCACCTTACCATATAGATTAATTCTTAAAAATTAATCTTTTTCGAAAATAATTACCATTAACGCAAGACTTTGGCGGAGGAGTGCCCATTTTTCAGCAAGTTCATTACCCACACTAATTATCGTTCATCTTCGCTACGTACCAGCCGGCCCTAAGGACTATTAATCAGTTACAAAAAAAAAATATTAATTTTAAAAACTACAATAATTTGTTAAACAAAACGATTTTTCAGTTTCTAAAAGAGTGTTCATCCGCTATAATCTGGAAATAAGAGAGGAGGGTTCATTAATTTTCAGGCTATGACGAAGCCTCTTTTGGGATTGTGCTTGACCGAGATTGGCGAAAGATAAATTATGCTTTAAACTCCCATATAATTCGTCTAAATATTCCTCGACGTAACCTACTTCGAACCAGAGTATATTCTGAAGTAAATTGAACTAAATAGTTTAAAGAGCTGAGAAAGTTGTAATTATTGAGAAAAAAAAATTAGTGCTAAAAATAGTATATATTCGAATGAGATCGGCAACAGTTTTATTATTCACAAATGGGACAAACAATAATTCATCAAAAATAACTATTATTAAATTAATAGATTAAATTAAAAATGAGAGAGAGAGAATGAAAAACAACAGCATGCGATTAAATACAAATAGTCAATCTTGCATGGGGAAAAATAACATAAATTTGAACAGCACGTAAGATTGAAAATACGATTTCCAAACAATAAAAAAGGTACTAATTTAGATAAAACTTGGAACAACAGTGCGTCTTGGAGATATGGCGGGAAATGGGGCGTGCCATAAGGTATACGGTTAGCAAACACGATACTTACAAACACAGCCCAACTTTAATGGCTATCAGTTTACGTAATGGCTAATTTCCAATAATATTAACTTATGCTGAAATTCTTTAATATTTTGGATCAGGCTTAGCAATAAGTAAAGTAATGTGAAGTCCTAAGATTATTTCACCTTAACTACAATTTCAACATTTTTGATTATTAATTTTAGTGATATTTCTAGAGGAAAAATGTATACCTTTATTCACAGCTCAATATGTCGACATTGTAATCACCTACTCTGGAATCAACCTACTACACTGTTTGTACAGACATAAATTTTCCGACAAGAAATATCACTAAAATGACTTTACTCAAAAATTGTTGAAATTGGAGTTAGTCATTTTTTCGACTGAAAGGCTCATATACAAACGTAAATTTAAAAAAAAAGCTTAACAAATACATATATTTTTTTACTAAATATTTTATTCTGAGACGACAACATTGTAAGCTTCATATTTTTTGCCATACCTTCCCCTCCTCGCCTTTCAGGTTATACGCGGTTTTCCCGGGCCAGGGGGTAAGCGCGGGGGATTAATGCCAGAGTTAAAAGCCCCGGCGCCAGAATGGGAACTCGTAATCAGTTTTTCAAATTATCTTCCACCAGGTTACCGGGCATCATGGTACTGTGCATAAGCGTTAGCCCTGTAATTAAAATTAAAATATATAACAAACCCAACGGTATGAACAAGGCGATGGTATGGCATAACGTAGACGTCTATACACTAGTGGCGTAGTTTCGTCACCACCAAATTTCTATAATGCTTACTGCGTTGCAAAGAGGCATCTAAAAAATTTAGGACTTTTTTCATATTTATTGTAATAATCTAATCTTTTCAGAGAACAAAAATTTGGAAATCATGTAATCACCCGATTTAGTTTCTGTATTTTGCTTAAATTCATGTTTGGATAGCGAATTTATCTTGATTAAATCCCTTTATGATTTATGCATTAGTTTTACAGTGAAAGCTACATTTGCTGACTTACCGTATAACAAAACATGATTATGTGAGAAAATGGCGTTATTTGCAAAAACATTAAGCCAACGTGGTGTTGTACAAGAACTAGGGATTAATTAGGCAACTGGAGTGAGTTCTCTCTAGATATAGAGAAGCAGGAAGAGAGATGAGAAGAGGTGTGTAATAGGTCCGTCCCACTCCTGCGCCACAAAGCCATAAGAAATCGTTTCTTCTTCAAGAGGGCAGTAAGAAGACAACTCGGGGACCAAAAGAATTGCTACAGATTCACTTCTTTCTTACCAACGATCATTATTGATGGATGGCTTGATGAAACTTCGTTTTTTTATATAAGCATGACACACTTAATATAATAGTTCGTGGTACTGACTCCTTTTTATCAAATTAATAATACCCGCTCGAAACTTCGTAAATTCGTAACCTAAAACTATTTTATTTACGAAATTTCTCGGAGTTGGGACATTTTCAATCTGGAGAGCAACAAACTTTGCCGATTTAATTAGGTTTTAAAAACTCGTGAATACCCATTTGCTTTCCACTTGAATCGTAAGATAATTTGGGCACAACATCGACAAAAAGGATGGCTTTCAAAAATATTGAGCCGTTTGGAGTGACCTATACTCCCAAAATAACCAGGTAATATAGACTAAACGGCACAATATTTCTGTATGTAATCTTTTTTCTCGATTTTGACACCAAATTATCCAGCGATCCAATAAACCTGTTGAAATGCGAACAACTCAAAATTTTGATGGCGCAACTTGCACAATGAAACCCCCTGCCACCATTATTTTTCACGATAACGAAACGTATTTGTTACTTTATTAAAATAAATTAAGAAAAATATTAGCGTTGAAAATTGTCAAAGAATTAATAACTAAAAAATTAATAAAGAATTAATTAATAAAAAAAAAAACTTAATAACAACACTAGATTTAGCCGAAACAACATACTTTATGATACCAAGAATAGAAAATATGGACAGAACTACTGCTAATTTAAGATATGGTAGACAAAAATTAAGATATTATTATATGTTTAATAAATTAGTAGTTCTATAACACCAAAATCGAAAACCGAGTTAATGTATTTTAAATAAAATGTACTATTAATTTCGCCATTGCATAAGTTATCTTAATAAGATGATTTTTTTTGTTGAAATAGATAAATTATACACATATAGTTTTGTCAGCATTTCCTAAATGTAAACACAATTTCGATGATTCTTTATTAATACTTTTTACATGATTAATACGTTAATCAAACCGTAAGTAAATTTCTGAAGTAAATATGGTAAATAACACAACAGCAGACAACTAAAATGAATTTCAGAGCACATCCGTGAAACAAAGAAAAGAAAAAAAAACCAGAACAATGTTCACATTTTTTTCTTCCACATCCTTTTAGGAAAATTGAGTATTGAATTAAAAAAAAAAACTAGATTAAAGGACATAGGGAAGGTATAAGGCACTTGAAGCTTTGAACATCGGGGGTAGGAGTGTTTTTTTTAGCATTGGGTATTGAAATTCTGTAGCCTAACTCAATACTCCGAGAGATAGTACAGACCTTTTTGTTAGTGAACATTATCCATTTCTGACCGGTGCAAAGGTCTATAAATTGATTAAAAATAACAAGTATTAATCGATTAAATATTAAATTGTGTATGTTTGTGTGGGTATATATATATATATATATATATATATATATATATATATATATATATATATATATATATATACCAAATTTTATTTCATATTTAACAGCACCATTATTAAGTCAGGGCCTTAAAACCAATAATTAAGTAACATATGTTTAGAACAGTCAAGCACCTGAAGTGTTATCTAGTAAAGCCCTTGAATTGTGCAACAATACCAGTTCACTACCAGTGCAATATTGGCTGCCGAGAATCTGCTACGAGAAAATTTAGTTTCGTCGACTGAGAGATCCCTGAACTCAAAGAACACTGAAGAACAGTGAGTACGCTGAATATAATTCATATATAGTTAATAGTCAGAAGCTTCGGAAGTATTAAGGAATATAAATATTAATATCAATTAACTGGTTAATAATCATCAATATTGAATTAGGAGGTTACAATTAGCTTCGCTGGTAATTAGCAATTATTAATGATTATATTAATAGACAATCCCTATCCTATAAACCAATATACCATTAAATTAATAAATATATTACAGAAAATTTATACCAATTAAGCATCAAACTATCGGAGCAGTTCTTTAAAATATTTTAAAACCTATCGCAACAAAGAAAACAGGAACGAATGATTTTTTTTTTTCATAATTTAAAAATAAGGATGACGCTCATTAAAAAACAGAGTGGATGAACGCCATTAACTTGGTTTTGTAAACCAGGCAAGGTAAACAATGCGAAACATCGTTATTTTTTGTTTTGTTTTTTTCAAATTGATTATAAAATTTTATTATAAAGGTTTATAATTTTTCGAATTTCGCAAAACAAATAATCAAAGAGGTTTCCAAACAAAGGATAAATTTGATTAATGAATCACATATCAGTATTCTTCCTTAAAGCATACTTGAAGTATGGATGAGGATACTAAATTATTCTTAGGAGGAACATAAATAAAAATATGAAAAAATTTGATACCATGGCAACAAAATTATTTTTAAAATGATGCAGTATGTGGCATAGTTGATTTTCTGAGATAATATAAATCATCATTAAAGATCAGAATAATACAAAGTTTTTATTACTGAAAACAAATAAAAACAATCACTAGGATAAAAACAAATAAACGAAATTGATATGTAGCTATATTTATTCTTACGGGAAACTTTTAAATAAAAATTGTAACTTAATAAGAATTCGATCGCATGCCATATGATTAACATATGACGAGTCCAAAAATGTGATTCATAACCTACAGAAACCTTCACTCCAAGTGGTTTCCATAAAAAAAATCAATCACATGTAGCAACTGCAGTGGTTAATCGGAGACGGACCAATATCCTCAACCAAAAGCTTGTTTTTGTTGAACAATGGATTGTATATGCTAAAACCCACTCAACGATTAATCGTTATGAAAAGCAGAAACCTACATTCACGACACTCTTCGTCCAAAAAAAAACAACAACTTATAATTACAACATAAAGTGTTGTGGAAGGGATGTGTAATAAAGAAGAAATGCTAGCAGAAGGCTGAGTAATGGAACATTATACGTTATTTGGATACGAAGTGTTTCCAACTTAAATGTGAAACAAACATCAAATAAGCACAAAAAAAAGGCATCCATCACAGGTCGGTACAGAGTTTTAAATTATTATGGTTACAATTAATGATAAGTTTATAGATAAGTCAACATAGTTTACATCAGCGGTGTCCAACCTCCCAAGATCGATAGCTCAAGAAACCCCTCTCTCCCCCCTAAGATATTTTATTATTCTATTTTTCTTAATAACAGTGCAAGCGGAAATATAATCTAAAAATTCGTAATCGTATACAATGCGTATACGAAGGGCGAACTCAAAAAACCTGATTATTGAAAAACCGCAGTTAAAGTTTCTACACATGGGGCGAACTCAACGAATCGTAGAACAGTCACACTTCGAAATTAGAAACACTTCAATTAACCGTCACTCATTAAATGATATAATGATTAAATTACGATAAATTTTATCCTTCAGTTTCTGTTAACTGTCACTACAGTAGGACTAAAAAAATGTTTGATCAAGTGTCGAGTTCGCCCTTCGTATCCGCACTGCATCAATTATACTTGCAGGTCTGTTCCTTGTTTTTCCCATGTCTCATGTCTTAAAACTTTTTCCCCCTCCAAAAAGCTCAAAACATCCCGTCAAAATGTCCCTTCCATTCCCCTCAAAAACTTGCGCCATGAAACCCCTGTTTCTGGGTTCCCCTTTTAAGTATATAAGAACCGAAAAAGAGGCATAAATTAAAAAAAAAAATTGCATACATACATTTTTTGGTCTGAAAAACCAACATGAAGCTGACTTGAGATTAGATTAAGATTGGAAATCGGTTCAGAATGGAATAAAAATTAAATAATCAGTGAATCTTTTCTTTTTTTAAAGATCTTTCAGAACAAAGGAATTTGGGTAACTTTAAAATAATAAAAACGACTAACCTAAGACATTTAAGTCTACTGTTCTATTTAAAATCTGTCGCGTCCATGTTCTGAAATTGTTTAGGATTCCTCAATGTTATTACTTGGACATGGAAGATTAGCTTGCCACAATTAGACAATATTTGAATTGAAACCTTCTTTAGGGCAAGACGTGTGTAAAAAGGGCACCATTCTAGTCCAAGTCCTATAGGTTTATTATCTATGACCTTACTTTTATAATTATTCGTTAAATTTATTAGATTACCTAGGTCATTAGCCTCCTTAACAATGCCCGATCTCTATCCGCATTATCATAGAAACAGTCACTAATTTATTCCACAAGGTACTCACACATCCCACGCATACGCCCACGAATGACTAACAAATACATAAAACCTTCTAACAACATAGGAACACCAGAGTACTCAGAAGTCAGAACTGACCACAAATTAACCATTGAGATATGGCCTGCACTAAGCCAGTTCCACTAAAGGGGAGAAACGCTAAGGTATGCCTTACACGGGTAGCAGCCATCTGTCCTGCTTCAGAACATTATCAACAACACGCACGGCACGGCACGGCTCTGTATAAATAACCTCTTCTTAAATAGGGCACCCACTTCTTCTGTACCTGCTATTTGTCAAAGCCTAAGTTCAAAACCATTGGATCAAAACAAACAGCAACGGATAACGTCGCGATTTCGATTTGCCAACGCATTAAGTCAAGAAAGTGATGGGAGCTATTACTATCCAATCACCAGGTTTGTCCTCGGTAAAAATGATGTTATTCAGCTGCACAAACCATTTCCTTTTCAAAAAACAACATAAATTGAAATCCGAACCAAACATTTTTAACTGATCTACATTTTTACTATCACCTACATATGTATGGAATACAGTGTAAGGAAAAGTATTGAGGTCGTGAAAAATTTCGTAACCGATTTTTCATTAGAAATACACATTTTAAGATCCTCGGTGTCCAAATTAGACAGTTCCACAAAATGGTCTTCGTCTTGCGTCTGAGTGTGGACAGTCTACCTAGAAAACGAAAAGTTGTAGGATGCTGATATAACGTAATTAGGATTAGATTAGATTGCGTTGTTTTGTATAGACAATAAACAGTTAAGGTCTTTAGTGTTCAAGCATTAAAAATTGTACATGCAGTGCCCTAATTTATATGTACAGGCAATTTCTCCGGGGCGCCGACTTGGAAAAGGACGCCCCTCACTTGTTAGGAATTTTAAAAAAAAATATCTAGCGTATGAGAATAATTAATTTTAATCTATTAATAAAGCAACTGAAGTAGAGGAATGTTGAATGAAATAAAATTCAAGCATTAATTAATATAAAACTATTTAAGAAATTAGTTAATTTTTTGAGGAGATTTCGTCATTGTCCGAGGACGCCAATGTCTAGGGAATAGCAACTTGTTCACTAAAATAAATTTTTCAGAAGTAATTAATATACTTCATATTTAAGTAATTAACTTAATAAAAAAATTTCATCGACTAAACATTTTAATTCAATTCGGTTAATTAATGTACAGTTTAATGGTAAAATATATCAGTAGGTCTTATCTTCATCGTGATAATATGGCAGGGGTTAAATGCTAAGTTTTCAAAATTTGTTCATCTAAATTTTTGTTTATTCTAAATATTTTACACGTGTCTCATTTTTATTAGCAATAAAAATGGCTAAAAATAAACCGTGAAGGAATTTGATAATTGCCTAAAAGAATATACGTATATTTTCAGAAGAAATAATAATAGAGAGTGATCTAAACTTTATGAATAATTATTTGAGAAAATTGAATTATTTATTGGAAATTAACTGTATTTCAATATAAAATTTTTATAATATTTTCAGTTTTAATATAAACAATATACAACGAATATATATATTATATACACATACAATAATATACTAATACATAATGCATTAAAATGTTTCAGAATTTTTTAAAAACTATTTTATCGTTCGTTTGGGAGAGAATTTAAATAAAGAATATTTCGAGTTTACGGGTTTAATAAATTGAGTCCTAATAATAGATTTTAAAAATCAATTATTAATTATTAGTATTTGAAGATAAATTAATTATTTGAGGAAGGTGGTGATTGAAATGTGTAAACGTAGCACAAGATGTTCAATAAAACAATTTTATCCAACACTGTGATTAGGTGACGCAAAATAACTTATTAATCTTAGATAATGCTTAATCTAAATTTTACTGAGTAGGATCAACTGTCCTTAATGAATTAACAATAAATTTTCCTTAAAAAAAAAACGAAAATCACAACTATTATTAATGCTATTTTATTTCTCCTTCACGCCCATCAAAATCTCATTTAATAGATAATATTCTGTTCGCACTTTGCCGGTATTTCATCCAGACAGGCCCTAACATCAACACTGCAAAGATGGTTGATTGCCAAATAGCGGCAATAAAAAGGAAGCTTCGCAATCCCACCACAACAGAAAAGAAAAGTATTGGGTAAGGTATCTTCTTTGGTTATTACTGCAAAAGAAGCATCTTGGATCCGTCAACAAAATACACCCTTCAGACTTCTGTGACCTGCCAGCATTCTGTCATGGTCTACAGATTACTCATTACTCCACATTGTTCTTGTATAATTTTCTTGACATACCTTCGTCCTCTATTCTAATTAGATAGGAAGATACTCATGACACCACACACTTCGCAAAACTCCAATTTTTTTTTTGCACTGCTATTCTTTGTATATTTTAAATGAATCCTGCAACGTTAAACCACTCCTCTCTCTTAAATGCGTTAAAGTTAATATTCCAAGATTGTTCCTAGTTCTCAAAGTATAGTTCACATTTTCGTGATTTCAAAGTTTTAATAACGATTAAGGT